TTTCCTACACAGAAACTCACAGAGGCACCAAAGTTACTGTGATTGATCATCATCGTGTGTCCTACAATACCCTATGGTCGAATGATGACATCACTTAGGCCACGCCCCCTGCGAAAAGAAGTGTCATGTTTTACTCTGAAAGGTCGCTATCTGACCCCTTTGACCTCATCAACATGAAACTGTGCCCAGACACAGAAGACATGTTGGTGTGTTGAGGATTCCAACCCCGACCAGCTTCGATGGAGCAGCTGGGCGTGGCGGCGTGGCGAAGTGACCTGTAACGCCATCGCCATACGTTTGGCTCTCAATTCCACATTTTTGGGCCCAGCTGCTCCAAACTCACAAGGATGGATTCCCATCAACTCCCCGACAGGAATCCATCACAATATTTGGTGGGCGTGGCCTAATTTCTCTATAGCACCCCCTAGAAAACAGCAGCCCATAGGTTATGTTGTTATTAATTATTTAAATATACATTATTATAACTTTTTATATATATATAAGTTTATTTTGTGGGTTAAAGTACAAACATTCATTCATTTTTGCTAGAAATAATACAAACAAAGTCATTCAGCAAAACTTATGACACAGCGAAGTAAGAACACATTGGGGTCAGTGTTGATGGAGTACCACTGGCACCTTGTGGCGATATACTGGTACTGCTAGTGCAATACCAGTATTGCCCCAGCAGGAGGCAGTGGTACTCCATCAATGAGAAAACAGATCGACGCTACGTAATAACAGTCAGCCGGCGACAGCTGGAGCTGCAAAGTTTTCCTGAACATTTTGCCTGCTTTTTGGAGCCACAGAACTGGACTACGCTCAACATTTTGCTTGGATTTTGGAGTTGCAAATCCGAACCACGCTTTTGAGCAAGAAGGCTCTGTTGGACCGGAGTTGGAGAAGTTTAAACTGAGCATCAGCTTCCGCGGTGCGGGCGGAGGCGCTGAAAACTGCGTGAGAGCTTCTGTGGTGGCTGGCGTGAGGCGGCGGTTGCTCGTACCCCGCGGTGGCAATAGGCCGGAGCGGCGCTTGGCTGCGAGGGCCGTTCGAGGCTGCTTGCAGCTTTAATTATTATTATTATTATTATTCTCCCTCCAAATGAATTGGTCTTTTGGGGGCTTTATCATATTCAAAAACTCACCAAACTTGGCGGAGGCCTTAAGCCTGTTTCAAATTTACGTATTTTAAAGTCGACGCAACAATTGCAAAAGAAATGGCTCAATAGCGCCACCTTGAAATTTTCAAAGGACCCTTTGCTATTCACTTACTTCATCGTAGAGACATGAAATTTGGTACACTTGTAGAGCTCCCCAAGATGCTCAAAATTACAATTAATGTCATAGTGCAAGTATCACAGGAAGTCAGCCATTTTGGATTGAATGTCAAATTTTCACCCCATTTTTGCCATTTACAGCCTTCGTATTTGATCGAACTCCTCCTAGGGATTTCCATTGATCGGCTTCAAACTCGGTCAGTCTGTTCATAAGGCATGTCCCATCTAAAGTTATCAAAACTGTGAGTTTTTGAGTATGCTGATGGGGGGTAAGCAGGGGTCAAAGTTCACCTACTCGCCATAAAAAAATAAACTGCTATATCTCCTACACAGAAACTCACAGAGGCACCAAAGTTACTGTGATTGATCATCATCGGGTCTCCTACAATATCCTATGGTCAAGTGATGACATCACTTAGGCCACGCCCCTGAGAACAGGAAGTGTAATGTTTTACTGTGGACGGTCGCTATCTGACCCCTTTGACCTCATCAACATGAAACTGTGCCCAGACACAGAAAACATGTTGGTGTATTGGATTCCAACCCCGACCACATTCGATGGAGCAGGTGGGCGTGGCGGCGTGGCGAAGTGACCTCTAACGCCATCGCCATACGTTTGGCTCTCAATTCCACATTTTCGGGCCCAGCTGCTGCAAACTAACAAGGATGGATCGACATCACCTCCCCGACAGGAATCCATCACAATATTTGTGGGGCGTGGCCTAATTTCTCTATAGCGCCCCCTAGAAAAATTTAAATGATCAGCCCCAAGCCATGCTTTAACCTACAATTACGAAACGTTGTAGACATGTGTACCTTGTCAGGACTTACAAAAAAGTCTCTTGGAGCCATGGTCTAATCCCCACAGGAAGTCGGCCATTTTAGATTGAAGTTCAGATTTTGACCCCATTTTTGCCGTTTACAGCCTTCGTATTTGATCGACTCCTCCTAGGGATTTCGATTGATCGGCTTCAAACTCGGTCAGTCTGTTCATAAGGCATGTCCCATCTAAAGTTATCAAAACGGTGAGTTTTTGAGAATGCTGAAGGAGGGTTAGCAGGGGTCAAAGTTCACCTACTCGCCATAAAAACATAAACTGCTATATTTCCTACACAGAAACTCACAGAGGCACCAAAGTTACTGTGATTGATCATCATCGGGTGTCCTACAATACCGTATGGTCGAATGATGACATCACTTAGGCCACGCCCCCTGAGAACAGGAAGTGTAATGTTTTACTGTGAAAGGTCGCTATCTGACCCCTTTGACCTCATCAACATGAAACTGTGCCCAGACACAGAAGCCATGTTGGTGTGTTGAGGATTCTAATCCCGACCAGCTACGATGGAGCAGGTGGGCGTGGCGGCGTGGCGAAGTGTCCTGTAACGCCATCGCCATACGTTTGGCTCTCAATTCCACATTTTTGGGCGCAGCTGCTCCAAACTCACAAGGATGGATCTTCATCCACTCCCCGACAGGAATCCATCACAATATTTGTAGGGTGTGGCCCAATTTCTCTATAGCGCCCCTAGAAAATTTAAAATGATCAGCCCCAAGCCATGCTTTAACCTACAATTACGAAACTTTGTACACATGTGTACCATGTCAGGACTTACAAAAAAGTCTCTTGGAGCCATGGTCTAAACCCCAGAGGAAGTCGGCCATTTTAGATTGAAGTTCAGATTTTGATCCCATTTTTGCCGTTTATAAACCATTTCAGTAATTCGCCACTTGGGGTCAGTATTGCTCCACAAATGAAACAGCAGATAATCAGGATGAAGAACAATATCAGTATTTCGCCAGTAGGTGTCAGTGTTCCTCCACCGATGATAAACAGATCCACGGGCGGATGGGCGTGAAAACTTTGTGAGTGTGTTGCCATGACATTTCTAAAAGGATAGAAATGTCTCAGATAATTTTTGTTGAATTAAATCATGCAGTAAATGTAGCGTTTTCTTACTTCTTACAAACCATTTCAGTAATTCGCCACTCTGAGTAAGTATTACTCCAACAATGAAATAGAGTGGTTTAGAAACACAGCTGAAAATGATGAAAAATGACGAACTGTAGTACTTCGCTATGTGCATATGATTGGCTGTAAATGACACGTGGATCATCCGACTGACGCCAAATTGGATACGTATGACCTTTGTTGACCTCTAAAGAGAACAACAGCATTGAAATATATTTGACTCCACTGCGCGTCCTACATTAATCCGCCAGCTATATTTCCTCGCTAAAGCAATGAATCTATACCACATTTTTTTGCATCGTCAAGGATAGCCGCCGAACGCATAGATGCGTACCGCCTGGTGGACGGGCGCGGAAACTGCGCAACAACTTCTGTCTTAGCACGTGCGCAGCTTTGATGAAAACTGAGCAACAGCTTCCGCGGTGCGGGCGGAGGAGCTGAAAACTGCGTGAGAGCTTCTGTGGTGGCTGGCGTGAGGCGGCGGTTGCTCGTACCCCGCGGTGGACAATAGGCCGGAGCGGCGCTTGACTGCGAGGGCCGTTCGAGGCTGCTTGCAGCTTTAATTTTTATTTTATTTTTTTATTAAGCGTTATGTGCAGACACTGAAACGTTAATGCATAACGCTGTGGAAACTTGATCTGCCTTTCATATTGAAAGCTTTGGTGAAATGATCTAGAATGGCTGGACTCTGTTGAATTGATTTTCCTCTATGTTTATTGGAAATCTAAAGAAGGAGTTTATGTGGACTGCAAATCATAAGAAATGACTTCAGGACATCATTAGGCAGCATTAAACTTGCCGCGAGCTCAAAGGTTTTCTAATAAAAAATACTCTAATGGAAATCTGGCCAGATGCCATTTACATGATACCAAAAGTATGCAAGTGCAGCAAAAAGTGTTAATAGAAATAACATTATTTGGAGTGGTTATGTAATAGTAGGCATTCAACTGCACATTCAAGGAAAAATGTAGTCCCTGATATTTAGCTGCCAGCAGTTTGCTCTTTGTTCACTAACAATTTGTATGTTTTATTAAAATTGTCTTATAATAAAGGTAATTAAATTTATTCTCATTAAGAGATCAGGGTTCTGTTTTCAACTCATGGTACACTTCAATGTGACCACACAACTGAAAATAAGCACCATCAGGCTGGATTATTGATTAGAAAAAGCATAAGTTTGAGAGGTGAGCAGGACTGTTTAGTGGTTTTGAAGACGCAGTGTCACAGAAGGAAGACATCTTCAACGCAAAACAAAATGTATGCTTTTTTTTGTTTCTTTTGTATTATGAATAGTGGCTAATTGTTAATATATTATAGGGTTAGTGACTGTCTGTGCCTCTAAAGAGACTCAAACTTTATTTATGTATTTATTTATTTTTTGCTTGAATTGTTGGCAACACCTTCTGTTGAGATTAGCCTCACTTTCTGAATGTTCATTTTCTATCAATCCTAAATTTAGCCGAAACCGATAGTTACCCATCACTCCTATTAAAATGGAATGGTAATTAAACAGTTTGCACTACTTTTTGTACAGTCAGATGCATTCTTCAAATCTTACGTCTGTTTTAATTAGTATCACAAGGAATTTATTTCATGCACATTTTTATAGACTGGCATAATTAGATCTGAAAAACATCAACCACTGTTGATTGATATTTGCCTAGTATGCAGGAATAGTTTTATGCAACAAATGTGTTCTATTAGTTGTAGAAGGATCAAATAAAATGCATAAAGAATTAACTCTCTCCACAGGTGGTTGGGATACATCACGTTGCTACTCTTCGACGTTCTCATCTGCCTTCTCGTTCTATTTGGTCTCATTCGCAACTCAAAGGGAATACTTATAGCGTAAGTGTCATCATTTGGTCAATGTTTCCCCACATGAACTTGTTGTTTTAACAAGCAACAAGTTCATGTTCTTCATGTTATGTCGAAATTTCAACTTCCTATTTAAATTTTGCACAAAAATGTTCAGTTGACAGTGAACTTTGTGAATCTTTCTTTTTATTTTAATAGTAGTCCTGAATTTTGCAGAAACCTAAAAAAAAAAAGACCTAAGCAATAATTACAATGATTTTCTTTAAAAATAGAACAGAATTGTATTAGTATTTACTTCATAGATGTCGAGATCAAAAAACATTTTAGATTTGTTTTTTAGATAGGAGCCTTATGTTTTATTACCACAGAAACTGTTCACTTTGACCATGTAATTTAATCAGTTTTATTGTGGTAAGCCTCTTTTTTTGGAAGTGTACCTCTTGATGTAATAGTTCATGGTCTAATGCTGCTGAAGTGATCCCCTGACCTCCTCTTGCTTCCCACAGGGTGTGGTTGTTTGGTGTCGTTGCTCTTATTATCAGCTGGGTCTCCCTGGGGCTGGAACTGGCTGTTTCTGCGGTGAGTGTCTACAGGGAATGATCTTGTTTACTTTGTGGAACCGTTCTGTTTAACACAGGTAATTGTTCAATATGGTTATTCTGCTAGAATCTTGATGAAAGTGAAGTGAAATACTCAAATGATAGACTGTTAAATTCTTTAAACCTATAATAAAGCTGGATATAATACTCTAAATCTCAGAATGAATACATGTTTCTCAAATGCCATTTTCAATAAACATATTGAATATGTTGCTTCAATAAACACCTGTGTCCATTTTTTTTTTTTGGGTCACTTAGCTTTTTCCAGAAATCCTGAAGACTAATAACAATGATTAAGTCCTGTAATTGAAGCCTAGCAGCTGTTATTAGAACTGCAGCCGTGCTGTTACAGGGAAAGCTGTTTATTGAAAATGCACAAAAGAGCATTTTAAATCCAGTTTCTTTTTCATGTAGCTTTAATGGACATCTAGCTGATACAAGTTAATCTTCATTTATGCAAATTAAGAAATTATGCATTCACTTTATAATCTTTGTCTCTTGTGCCTGAATAAGCGTAAATAAGTTATTTTCAGCTGAGATTGAGCCAGCTTTTTCTTACCGCAATAAGTTTAATGTACATTAATTTCTTTTAGTGTTATTCAGGTTGATCATTGACTAATTTTAGATCTGAATTTTCTTGTTTTTAGAGCTCAAGTGACTTCTGTTTTGCTCCTGATACATATGTTACCACAGTAGTGGACCAATATGGGGTCATCGATAAAGGTATGATGCCTTCCATTATATTTTGATTCAGACACACACAGCAACATGCAGTCATGTCTAAAATTAGCAATCCGATCCATCATCTGCTAAATGGGAGTATTATTATGAGTGAATCTCATTTCTTCCTCTCATTCCTCTGATTGTTCCATGGTAATTAGACAAGATGACGTATTTTTTTTCATCCACAAAAAGCTCCCAAAAATTGCTGCTGCATCTGCATAAAGGTCAAGGGGAAATGGGTTGCCATTTGAAATGGCACAAAAGCCTCTCTAACACATCTCACTGTAGCAATTTCTGCTATTCGTTCCATGACAGGAGGCATGTCACAGGATAACAATTAAAGAGCCTTGGGTTTTCTTGTGTTTGTGTATGAGGGAGATATGAGGCGGAAAGGAGGAGATCAAAGACAGGAAATGAAAATGGTGTTTTTAAAATAAAACCGTTGTTCCTTGTCAACATCATCTCAGCTAAATGAGCTCTTTCCTGCTTTCTTCTTAAATATGATAGCTGCTGAATGCAGGCAAACAGAAATTAAAACGTCGGCTGTAATTAGGTGCTTTGCTGTTGATCCAAAGTGAGCAATAAGAACAGATTTACTATTTATTCAATAATCTGTCTTATAATTATGTTTTTATATGTTTTCAGCCTAAAACTTGAGACAAAATTATGTTTGAGCTTCATGCAATTTTTTGTACATTCACTATTATTTCTTTTTTTGACAAGTTTTTTAGATTACACTTTTTTGACTAATTCTACATTATAATTCTGCAATGCAAAACACTTGCCCATACAAGTGTTTACTCTCAATATTTTTTCCCTTCATCAGCTTTCACTTTTACTGTAACAGTGTTTTACTACAATATTTGATTTAGCACTTTCTCTGCTACATATATTTAAACAAGAAATATTGTTTCACATCACGTTCTCTAGTCCTACCTGTCTTGCAGTTTTATAATCTGAATTAAAGAACCCAGATCCTTACTCTATACATCTAAAGCTATCTGCATTTTGTGATTTGTTTGCTTCAACAATTGGATTGAAGGTAGTTTAGCTGATTCTTTGCTTAGTCAGTTATTCTGATTGCCAGCCTTTTAAAATTTCATGAAGTTAAAAATAAAACACAAATCAACTAAATAGATACTCCAGTGAATCTATCAGTGTTGCTCAGTCAGATGATTTTTTAATGACTGTATATTTCAAGACAGCAGAGATTAGCAAACCGATCATAAAAAAAAGCCCATAAAGTTTTCTGAAGACAGAAACAAATGTAAGACAATGAGACAGAGTAAACCATTGTCTAAAGATTATTCCCGTCTCTCTGTTTCACTATTAGTTTGTCCATTTGTCTCTTCATCCATCTTTCCATCCATTTGCCCATCATCTTTTTGTGATTAATCATGATAAGTCAAGAATTGAAATAACTGGTAACTGTTTTAGTAATAGATTAATTGTTATATGGCATATATAGACTGAAAAGAGAGGCTAGTTGCTGAAGGAACATTTAGAGCAGTAATGAAATCAAAACTGTACATGAAATATATACATTTAGCATTTTAGCTTAAAGAAATCTCTTTCTGAAAATATATTCTACTCATAAGTTCTCAAGTGGCATAGTTTTAGAAGTCTGAGTATTTGCACTGGATTATTATGCAGACCATCGTTAATAATGATAAAACTGCTTATTTTATCATTAACAGCACTATTAATAAATTACCAAAGATATAGGTGTCTGAAGCAACAATCACTGAGATCAGAGAATCTGCTCTTCCTAATGTTCTCGCTCGTCAGCGAGAACATTAGGAACACACGCACAGAGACCTGTGCGTGTGTTTTTCCTTCCTGTGTCGAAAACATTTCACCGGTGTTCATTTGTGTTGAATCTCCTGACTCAGCAGAGAGTTTGAATGTCACCAACGTTATGTGTCAGTTTGGTGGCGGCGGTGTTCACAGCTTGGCTCTGTGTCGCAGTACTTCTGAGTCAGATGTGAAGGATTCCTCATCGACGGAAGTGCGTGGCGATTGCAAGCCTTAGCCTCTAATCATTCTAATCCTCTCTGGTTCACTTTGTACTGAGAACAGAATTCAAGTTTGCAATAACAGCACTGATGATGTAACGGGTTTTGGTGTATTTACAAAGCTGTGTGCTGTAGGAGGAATTATACCTGCACTTCTCACTTGGTCTGTATTAGCTACAGGGATTTAAAATAGTTAATTTAACGTTTATGTATCTTTTCTAAGGTTTGAGAGTTCAGGATTGTCTCGTACATAGTTATATTGGTACTGACTTGTTGCAAGCTGTCACAAGATAACAAAACTTTAAAGACAGAAGATAGAACCTAGTGTGGGTAACACATTCTCAGAACATATTAAAGGCAAAAATACTCTCTGAATTGAGATTTTTATGCTTTCTGTTCATTTGTTTTGCATTTACCTTCCTCTCTCTTCTCACATGGCATTGCTTTATTTATAAAACCCTCTTTATTGCAGCACAAGCAGATTAAACTCCATCAATGCTGCAACTCTGCCTTTGCATGAAATCTGTCTGAAGTGGGTTGAAGTAGATTCAGGAGTTTCCACTGTGTTTTGTGACCTTCTGTTAAACTTATAGCACTGGTCAGTTTTCTCAGATACTTACCAAGATTAAACAGGCTTCTGGATTTTAGCAAATTAATGACAACCAGTTGACAGTCATTGGACTGAATGATAATGTAGAAACTGCTAAAACGGTAATTATGTTGTCTCAGTCAAATAAGAATCAATGTATGCTTCTCTAACATGTTCTTGTCTCTGTTCCTCTCAGAGATCCTCCAGTACTACCTTATCTGCAGTCCGGACCAAACCAACCCCTTCCAGCAGGTTTGTTGTACTTGCATTTTACAACTACAAATTTGTTTACTCTGAAATGTTAGCTTAATGTGTTTACAGCTCAAATCGAAGGGATGATAACAAAAATTGCTTGTTTAGCAAGTTTTTTTTTTTTCATGCCTCTGCAGCAGTTCAGTGCATTCCTTTCTCAGGGAGTTCATCTGATGCACCACAGCATGCGTCCATGCTAATAGGATTGAGCCTGTGCAAACGGCACTCATTAAACATTTGTTTGCACACCAGCACAGTCTGTGCAAAGATGTTTTTAGAACAGCATAATGAATTTATTTTCTTGAATAACAGTTTATTTGATGATCCAAAAGAAAGACAAATGCAGCACCTCCAAATAACAAACTTGAAATGAAAACTGTTATTGATCTCTAGTAGGTGTTTGTGACGTTCTGTTTATAAAAGGAACAAAGAAAAAGCTTGTACGACAACATAAAGCAGTACTTTTGCTTCCTTATTATAATCTCCACTGAGCTATTTGAGTACATGACACTTGTTTTGTTTATTTTGTTTTTGCCGTTTTAAAATGTTCACTTTTCTTGCTTTTCAGTTTGACTCCAACATCTCAGTTGGAGTGAAACTGAGATGCACTGAGCTCTGATCTAAAAGTTTAAATGAAAATGTTTAGCTTCAGCCTGGAGAAATGTTCTTACATTTTTTTACTTTGGAGAAAAACCTTCAACTCAAAGCTTTGCCATGTTTCTGTGGCATATTCCTGTTGATGTCAAACTTGTTTCTCAAAATGAATTATCTGCATCTTATATGGTCAGCCCACATCAATAAATCAAAACCTTTGAGTGCTTCTCATGTCAAGGGATGACGTGGTTATTGGAGTGTTCATATATCAGAGTATAGATGGCTTTGTGCTTTTAACTTTTATAATGCCTTATAAAAGTGAAATAGAAATAGCCGTTGAAGGTTCCTAGTGATATTTCTGATAATTGTAAAACTTTTATTTGCACACGGTCGTCACTCACTTTGTCAATTTTTTTCTTTTTCAGAAGCTTTCAGGGAGCCATAAAGCATTAGTGGAGATGCAGGACGACGTGTCTGAGCTGTTGCGCTCTGCCACCAGAGAATACATACAGACCCGGGTAAGCTATGAGGGGCTGAAACTGTGTCTTAGTGAAAGGAATCAGACTGAGCTGCAGACGGGGGAGCTGGCTCTGTCCATCATAACCATCAGCTGATGGCACACCTGGGACCTGCTTTATGTCCATTTAGATGCATTAGGCTTTCACTGTGCCTGGTCCACACAGCATCGGTATTGTCTATCGGTGGTTTGTAGTCTGTTGATGGCGGCATGAATGAGAGCTGATGATAGGAACACAGAAGGGCATGCTTCCCTCTTCACCGACACGCACAGAGAAATGTGCTGAGGCTGTCCAAATTATTTTGTCAGGCAAGCTGATGTGTTTCCAGCTAAAGATGGAGATAACATGTTGACTAGAGGAAAAATGGAGGCAGTCTATTAAAATTATCATGAATTAAAATCTGCTTTTCAGCTCTTACTGCTGTATATTTCTGAAAGGCTGTTCCCAGATAAATGCGCTTTGAATGAATAATAGAGAAATAACTCGCTTCCGTTTTAGATATGCAGCTCTTCTGCTTCCATTCCTGAGTGTTTGAGTTGTTTAGCAAGCAGGAACAGAAAAATGTTGCTCAAGGTTCTTAGCTTATCGTGTTAACTCTGAATATTTCTGATTTTCTTGGTGTTTCAGCTGTTCAATTATGCAGTTTTTTCTTCTCCATTTCTTCCCAGGGAAGTTTGGAAGAGATTCAGGGGGTTCTGAACACCACTGAGATCAGCCTTCATCAGCTCACGGCGCTGGTGGACTGTCGCAGCCTGCACATGGTGAGCAGAGATGGCAAGCCGAGACACTGTCTCGTGGCGCTGCTCCGAGCAGGAAACTGATTCGTTCAGGCAGTTTTTACAGCAGCTAACTTGTATAAAGGAACTCATCTTTGATGCCTGAGTTTTCACTCTAGTTACATTTTGGTGTCCTGTACTTGTCTATTCTGCTGTGTTATGAATTCTTCAGTGCTCCCCAATTCATAAGTCCCAGGATGCACATCCAAAATCATTTGAAATTAAAACTATTTTTATACAACTTTCTTGGTATATATCACCTTTTCATTTTAACCCACATCAAAATCATGAATACACTCAAAGGACAGGTGGTAGCAAAATATATCAATGAAATCACCATTAAATAGCTGTCTATGCATTTCATGAGTAATTCTTAAAGTTAAATATTTAACTTGTTTTTATTTTCTTCAGTCAACCCCAAAATAATGAGAAAACTGGATGCTTTTTATTTAACAATAAATAAAAAAAAAACATTTGAACTTTTGTACCTACAATTCCATTTATGCAAAGAAATCCATTGAAAAACTCATGCTTAGTTTATTGTTGGGTAAGTTAAAAAAATCAAAACTACATTTTGATGATTTTAGATTTTAAAAATTATACTTTTTTTGGCCCACAAGGATTTTTGAGGTGAGCATTTTGGGGTCCACATGATAAAGTGTGAACACCCATGCTTTAGAGTTCTGAGGACTACATAAAAAGTTATGGCGGATCAGATTTAACCGACAGGGCTCGACTTTGATACTTGCTGTAAGGATTTTTGACTGTAGGCTGAATTTGTCTTGCAGGACTATGTTCAGGGCATGACAGGACTGTGCTATGATGGACTGGAAGGCCTCATCTACCTCTTGCTCTTCTCCTTCGTGACTGCGCTCATGTTCAGCTCCATCGTCTGCAGCGTGCCTCACACCTGGCGCGGCAAGCGGTGAGATATCGGCTGCCTTCTTGGAAAGTTCCACAAACGTGGCCGTTCAAAAGCTTCCGTGCCAAACTTATACTCAGAGTTTTATGTGGAATGATTAATAATTCAAAAGGAAAAGTGATTAATCATTTATGGTTAAAAAAAATCAGCTTTTTAGGTTTTTTTCTGTAAGCTTTGTATCAGAATGAAGACAACAATCCATCCACCCCAGAAGACTCCAGATGCTTTCTCCACCTAAGTGTGCCATGTTGACCAAAATCTATCACAACCTTTCGCTTGATCTTCAGCAAAAATATAACATTATTCAGATTTCTTTTTCCCATTAGCAGCAGGAGAATGACTGCAGGGTTGCTACTTGGAAAATGGTTCCAGCTCCCTCACATAATTAACTGATTACTCCTTATCAAAAGAGAGGGTTTGTTCATCAGATTTAACTCAGCTGGTGCTTCCTGTCGCAAAGCAAAAAGCTCACGCTTTTACCAGTCTGTTGTTTCCAGTGTTCTCCGCTAAGCTTGTTAGCAGTCGAGTCGTAATGAAGCATGGAAGCTAATTATTTCAGCACATCTGGAATCGCAGCACAGGGGCAGGTTATGACTGGGATTTACAAGCAAGACCAACATTTCTTTAGTGTTTTGAGCCATAATTATGCTGTTTGGAATCAACTCCCAACATGCATGTGTGATGAAACCTGTTAGGAAAGTATAATAAATGCAGTGATGATGTCATAAATATGGTATGATGGAAGTCAAGCAGGTGGTGGGCATGAACTCCAGGGGGAGACGTGTACTATTTTTATTTTTCTAATAGTCTGGGTTCCAGATTTTTATCTCAACAGAAGCAAAATATATTTGTTGTGACCATTTTAGTTGAAACAGAACAAACTGCACTGGTATATTTTTGCACAAGGTTTTTATAATTCTGCATCTTGTTTGTTTTTTTTTGTTTTTTTCATTTTTGGGGTTCAATCTAAAAAGGCTAAAAGTCGCAGGAGGGAAAATGTGACGGTGTGGCAAGTTTTTGCTCCATTGTCATCATTGAGGTAGATCAGAGGTGCCCCCTGGTGGTCGTTTAAAATTCAATGAGTTTGTTTTTTTGTTGTTTTTGCTTTCTGCAGGAGCGATGAGGACAGTGTAGATGAGTCTCTGAGCCCCGGCGGGCGGCAGACCCACGACAGCCTGTACCGGGTCCACATGCCCAGCCTGTACAGCTGTGGCAGCAGCTATGGGAGCGAGACGTCCATTCCTGCTACAGCCCACACCGTCAGCAACGCTCCGGTCACAGAGTACATGTAAGGTCCCACCTGCCTAAAACCATGCAATAGGAGACTGTAACTGAAAGCAGAAGTGGTTGATGTATTTGTATGCCATGTTCTTAACTCTGCACATTAAGGCAGATTTCTTTTTTTTTTTATAATTTCCTCTTGTTGTCAAGAGGAAGTTTATGTGACCCCAGAGAGAAGCTTAGTTCCCCCCATAGTCAGCAGATGCAGCTGTTTCTCTCCAGCTGTGATGGTTGTGAAACCCAAAGCTCTCTGAGGCTTCATGCTAATGAAACTGGGGGATGGGGATACTTCAGTTTCTAACTTTGTGCAAAACCTTGGTGGAAGCAAAGTTTAATGCCTGTTCTCTTTAAAATCCTTATGTGCATGTATACAAAAATGTACACTACTGACATTTTGTGATGTTAATAGCAAGACTTTATCTTTCTGCATAAAGAGAAAATAAAATCTCCAGGGTGAAACAGCAGGGGTAACCTTGTGGCATAAATATGCATCATGTTAAACCAGGTGTGTCAAACTCCTTTTCGTTTTGGGCCAAATCAAAATCATGAAGGCTCTTAAAGGGCCGGTTGTGCCAGAATTGATAAAACCTGTTCACAAACTGTTAGTATGTCAATAAATTCTTAAAATTACATAATAATATTGAAGATCTTTTCTGTCCCTTCAGGGACTAATAATAAATGTGACTTTTTATTTACTCGCTGTATAAATCATGGACTATAGAGATACACCAACTGAATTCTCAAGAAACTGGAGGGATTGATTGATATAAATTGGCAGTAAACAGATAAAAACTGCATTGATATGATTGATGATATAATATTTAATCACACTTAGTGTTTAGTCTAGACTGTAGAGGGCCACAACAAAAGCTACGGCGGGCCGGATTTGGCCCCCGGGCCTTGAGTTTGACGCATGTGAACTAATACTTTGTTGATCTCAATACCAAAGTCATCCCCCTAAAATTGGAGAAAAGAAAAAAAACGGGATTTTTTTCTGAAAGTAATGAAGAAGCAAGACTGAAACTGGTCAGAGCGACAGCAGAATGGATGGAACTGCAGGGATTTCCAAGTACTTGTTTAGTAAAAATTTCCTCTAGTGAACTAAAGATTAGGTTTACAAGAAATATTTTCTTTAGAAAACATCCAGGCCTGTCTAGACTCTCTCAAACCTTTGTAAACTAATGTGTCATGGTCTGATGAAGCCTACTGTAGTTGTAATGTTTGGGCCACAATCCTAAAATTTAGCGCCACCTAAAGAAGACAATACCCACTGGAAAAGATGATGGTGACAGCATCTTCCTCTGGGGTTACTTATCTTTAGATGAAACTGAGGATTTTATCAATGCGGTTCTAACTATTGCTCTTATTTGTCTCCACGAATTCAGCAATCGACAAGAAAGATAAGAGTTTTCATTCCTTCATTGTTCAACTAAATAAAGCACTAAATAGTTTGAGCTGACAATTAAAGTTGGAAAAATTTGGAGAGTCGTTCGGAGGATGAGTGGACAAACATTACTAAGTTGAGAACACAAAGTATTAATATTTGTGTTTGAGGAATAGTAATATGAATATTTGTATTCGTTTTAAAAGGTTTGCATTTCATCTGAGTTTTAAAGCTTTATTGTTACTGTCAGACAAAACTTCATAATTGTTTTCTTATAAAAATCAGCTCTAGTAATCATGTCTGTTGGAGGTTTAGTTTTTACATTTCCACTCAAGCTATTTAAAAGAGCAACTTTGATTCAACTGTATGGATTTACATTTAATTTCCTGAAAACATATTTTTGGAAATGCAAGGATTCTATCTGACAGCAGCAATAATTGAAAAAAATACTGAACTGATGCATTATTGTCTCCTTTTTCACGTCACAAAGACCTGCATTTTAAATGAGTTGTTTAGATGTTTGCAGGTTAACTTATATATGAGGTGTGTATTTGATATGTGTGTGTGTGTGTCCTCTTCTGCAGGGCTCAGAATTCCAACTTCCAGAACTCTCGGTGTGAAAACACGCCACTGATCGGACGCGAGTCTCCTCCTCCCTCTGTAAGTTTTTGTTTTCTTTTGTATTTGTTGTTTTTTTTTTTTTTTTGAACCAGCAGACTGCTGGTACAATATCTTAATAAGTAACAGCATCTGTAGTGACCTTTAAGCAGATGTGGTGTGTATTTTGCCCCTCAGCCCTTAGGAATCAATCACATCCGTCAAACATATGAGCCATGCTGTTTTTCTGAATAAGCTTTATTAAACAGATCTCTGAGGTTCACTCCTGTATTCAGGATTGTTTCAGTTTGTTCCCAGTAAAGAATATAGAGTTGATCTGAGTTATTTAGCCCCGACACACCCCGGCCTTGACCCCTCCTCTAGAAACCCTGCTCTCCCTCGTGTCTGTGTGTCTACTTGGACCTGGACGCTGCTTTGTGCATCTGCTCTGTACTCTCTTCTTGTCGTTCTTTCTCTGCGAACCCATCCAGTTGTATTTGACTGCCGCGGACAGTAACAGCGGTCACTGCTGGCAGTTAAAGCCCTCGGAGAGTTCAAGATCGTTTTGGTAACTTCATCTGCTTTACTACCAGGTACAAAACATGGCCGCCCGCCCGCCTCCCCACACCTGCTGGCCTGTTCTCCCTCTGTGTCACCTCCCAGAGTTCTGGCTTTGCTGACCCCATTCTAAGGTCCCAGCGGTGGGATTTTAGGGAACCCCCCCTCCTCATATACCCCTTCCTCTCTCCTCTGCTGTCCTACCTGGTGTCTAATCTGATGTTTGTATCCTGTCCTGGGCTGCATGCTTGCCTCCCCCTCCCAAACCTACAGGAACATGTGAAGCTGCAACTCTTCCCTGAATCACTGTAGCATATGAATTCAGTGGTGAAATTATAAATCCCTTCCAGCATTTTTATGACTTGTATTTTCTTGAGTACTTTTATCGAGGGCCAAAAATGCTCCAATTTAATAACTAAATGAGCGCTTCTGCTTAAGAAATCACTATAAAAAAAGAATGCATATATGTTTATTTTGGTATTCTGGTAGATTAGAATTGCATAACTCATTGTGGAAATCATCACTTAAGTTTTAAATTATTTTAAAATCCTGCAAAATTTTTGTATTTTTATTATTTTGTATTTTTGCTTTGCCATGGCCCATCATGAATTGATTGCAGCCTTCATTGTGGCTCATTGAATATTTTCTGATATTTTATATTTCAGATCAGTCACCATTTTACCTGTTGAGTTAAATAGGTGAGAAAACTGTTGTAAACCATAATGATTTCACTTTTTTTTTTTTTATCGGCTTTATAAATTGTTGGAATATTTAAATACATAAAAATACTTAACTTACTGTGTATTTTCAGTTTTATCACAATATCTAAAAAAATTTCTTTATCTAATTGTTGCACTTTTGGTCCTCAATTTGATTGACTTTATAATATGTTTATTTTGTTTAAATAATGCATAGGTGAAAGCATAAAGTCACATTTAATTCAGCAAAAACCTTCTTTTTTTTAACATTAATAAAAAAAATGCAGGCAGAGTGAGTGGAGGCAGAGGACTCTTTCTCTAATACAGAGAAAAACATCCACACAGAAACACAAGAAGTGTTTCTCCATTTTGTTTTGTCATCCCTCTCCTCTTCTCATCCTCGCCACATGGGGCCCAGGTGATAATATGGACATTTTCAAAATAAAAGTTTTTATTGGATGCATGTGAATGCAGCCAGTAGTTTTACACAAAAGACCGTCGCAGCTCTTCTCCTGATCTCATGGAGAAGATTACAAGTCCAGCATGTTAGAGGTCTCGATAAAACCAGAACTTTGAATATCTGGTCTTGAGACTAAAATGGAGACCTGGCTAGAGTGCCGCTACAAGATTCTACCATTCTCTTTCCTGTAGTAAATATTAAAAGCATGCAGATCATGAAGTTGTAGTAACTTCATGGTCTGCATTATGCAGTTAAGTTGATATTGAAAAGAGGAAGTTCTGGTGTTTTTTGTTGGGTTTATTTTTTTAATCATATAAAATGCATCTGAACCTAAATGCATCCAAGATGGTCGCCTCCACAGGAGTGAAATGCAGCCCCTGTTATGTTCATTTTCCTCGCATCCATACATGCATGGATCCGTTCCTCCTCTATATAAATGTCTGGCTCTGTTGGTCTACACACAACAGGAAGAAAAACGATTCAAACTACAGCAGAGTTATATTGACAGTTCCTTTTATTTGTCTCCTGTAATTTTTTTTTCTGTGATTTTGATGTCCCTGTAGAAAGATAGTCTAAGATTTTCTCTTTTTAGTGTTTTGTTGTTTTTCCTTTTGACTTTGTATTTTGTATAGTTATTACAGTTATCTAATCAATATTTAGTGAAATTCATGCATTTTTTACACACAAGCTCCAAAAATCTCTTTCCATCTATAAAAACTGTGTGTTGCTGTTGAATGAGAAAATCCTACACGAGATTTTGTAGTTTTTTTTGAGACCAGACAGAATTTTTTTTTTAACCTTTTTCTATGTATGCATGTATAAAGAGTAAAACAATAACCTATTTTCGTCTGGTTCGTCTTTACAGTACACCTCCAGCATGCGGGCAAAGTACTTGGCCAACAGTCGACCCGATCCCAACAACCCTCCTTCTCATTAAGTCTCTCCGCTCTCCACCGGTCTGCAGTGCTGCACATCTCTGAAGCCTCTCCTCAACTGATCAGTCCCATTTCTTCTGCTTCCTGCTTGTTTTCTCTCTATCAGTTTATTTGAACCAAACATGCTTTCTCCTGCTTGGCTGAAGCAGAACCAGAGGACATGCATCAGATTACAAACTGAGTCAGAAGTACAGATGTACACTCCATTGTTTATCTTTGCACGCATCATTAAGGGTCCTGCAACTGAACTCCTGAGCTGATCCGATGCAACAACTTTTAGCTATAATTCATGATATCAAACATGGCGGTTTAAGTACTGTAACATACTCTGTGTTTACTCTGGAATCTGTAGATATGATCTTTCACACTCAGCTTAGATCTACTTTTTCCATTGATTAGATTAACTTTAGCTTGTTAAGACTCTACTGTTTTTGAAGCTTGAATCGTACTGTACTTGTGGCACATCCAACACAAACTAACACACTTGGCTTATAGTGACATTCTATGTTAAGTCTGTTGTCTGGGACCAGTTTTTCTGTGGTATTGCATGTTTGACCACAGTCTTGTTTCTTTCTTCTTATTGGTTGACTTTTTCACAGCAGTTGCGACTCACTTGTGAAGCTCTGACCTGACACGTCTTTTATTTGGTTAAATGAAACGAGTTGGAATTTATTTTTCCAGCAGATGACTGTGAAAAAGACAAGTGTGTGGTCGCTTCAAGGGCTTAAGGATAAGTTGGAGTTCCCTGTATCTTAACTGCCTGTAATGCTCTCTGTGATTCAAACTGGTCACACTCAAAAAAAATGCAGCAGTAATCGTCCCAGTAGGAGTTTCGACTTGATAAAAATGGCTTTTTCTCTAGAGGCTTTTCTGGAGGAAATGTAATGCATTTGCAATGCGGTGCCTCAAATGTGTTTTAGCATTTATGTAACACTCAGAGAAAGTAGTGGGTGCTGTGAAAGGATTGTGAAATCTTCAACTTTCTGTGAAAAAATAAATTGAAATTCTTTTTCTGAAAATGATCTGTTGCAGCATGACAAACCTTCAAATGTGGAGTGAGTTGTTTTGCATTTCGGCTGCCTCTGCTTGCTTCTTAAGATGTGATCTGTGTAAGAAGTGATGTTGAGACTGTGCCAACAACTAAAGCACAAATCTTTTAGTATCTCAGTAACTTTTTAGATGTTTTCTTTTTCCGCCAGCAGCTCCCGAGAGGCTGTGAAACAAAAAATGAGCCTGAGTTTTTCAAAACAATATTTTTTTTTTCTTTGATAATTCACTGATGCAGTCTGGGTTTTTGTTTTCTTTTTTGTAGTAGTAGTATTGATCTTTTTGTAATGTACCGGTAAAGATGATTACAAAACATTTCCAACTCTGAAATCTTTATTTTTTCTTTCTTTAGAAAGCCTGTGATTCATTTTAAGGCGTTTCTTTATTTTACTTTTTAAAAAAATTATGTAAATATAAATAGACTTGTCTGTTTTTTTTTCTTTTGTGTAATAGATCTGTTTTTTATACATAATTTTGTAATGTGTTCTTGTAAAGGCTGTGGTCATGTTGAAGCTTGAATGCTGTGTTTTGAAATTAAAGGAACTTTTAACTGAAGTGCGGAGGCTGCTGGGGTCGTTAATGCGAACAAATCTTGAAACAGAACAAACACCAGGGAGCAGCAAAGCTTCACTGCTCTGATCTTCTTTTGCAACAGATGAACCTTTGTGCTTTTTCCAACTTAAAAAACAAATTTAAAGTTAAAGCTTTGAAGCCCTGGAAGTAAAAAAAAAAAAACACTTTTCCCCCAGCTATACCTGAACACTGATCATGCAGGAATATATCAAAGCAATTTCATTTGTTTTCCTTTATTCCCTTTTAGACAAATACAATTGTCAGAATTAAAAAAAAAAACATTTTCTATTATGACAGCTGCAGGATCATGTTCTGAATTTTTCTCTTCCTTCTGATCCAACATTGTAAGTTTTTTTTTTGCTAATTTTCTGTGAAGCCTCACTCGTATCTAATACTTCAGAACAAATTTAACCACCAAAGAGCCTGCAGATAAAAATAAAATAAAATTTGACAAAGGAATAAATAAAAAGAGAAGTTGGTCCATTTATTTGACAGTGATGCAGTTGGTAGGTCTATCTATCCTAAAGTTCTGACCTTGCATGGTTCTCCTGCCACAATTCAAAAACATAATTGATTCATCTAAATTTCATTTAGATACCACTGGGAATAAACAGTGGATGAACAATCACAGAAACAAAATATACTATTCCTTTAGAGGTTTTAACATTTCTGGCTGTGATGAATATAATCTAAAAAGCCCAAATTATTTGACATTTATTAACAAAACAGGTTTCTAACTAAAGCTTAATAATGGCCATAAGTGTGTAATAAAAGTCTAGAGTGTATACAACTCACAGGAATTATAACAAGGCTACTAAAGTTATATATATATATATATATACATCTGTTTGTTCATATTGGATCTAAATGAGTGTAGGTATTTCTTATGCAGTGGTGCAGATGAAAAAGCCAGACTTCTGTGTCTGACCTCGCCTCATCGACAGCAGGCGGGGAGGTCAGTGTCAGCGCCAGGCCACCAGTCTGGTTTTGTCACTTCCTTTGTGGCCCCAGGCAGCTGCTGTCCTCCGAAAACACACTTTCCAAGTTTGACATTTGGAACAGAAAATAGCTTTCAACCTCACTTGTGCTCAGCTAAAAGCAGCTATTACTCGTATTTTCCTGAATTTAAAAAAAAACTCTGTAGAACCTCCTCAGGTATTTAAAGCATCAAACACTGATAGACTGACAAAGATGAGAGCATCTCCTGATCGCCTGCCGCTTGTCGTGGAATAACTGCAGATCAAACAAAGCATAATGGAGACAGGGAAGTTTTTACAGCTTGTTCAAAAACTCAGAGAACTGAACATGCAAATGAAATTTCACACGGCCCCACTGTTGAGGAAATTGAATTACCCTGCTTGTTGCTGAACTGGAGGAATGCATTACTAATGCTTTGAGGTGAAGAGCTGAATGGAGAAGAGGAGGAGAAAGAAGAAGGGGAGGGAGCCCCCCTCCATACACACATGGACACTTCCTGAGTTGGACTGGGCTCTCTGCCAAGCTGTCGGACCATGGCTCTCCTTCTTCTCAGTGTTGAGCAGCTGCAAGGCAGCAAAGCAAGTATAAAGTGAGATAACCCCCCCACCACCCACCAGTTCCCCCACATCAAGGCAATTCAACACTCCGATTTTTTTTTTTCTCTTTTATCAGACCCAAACACAAGGGAGACGGACGTCACCTCCGCCTGAGACCTCTCTGATGGACCTCGTGTCTAAAAGACATTCTTCTGTCAAACAATAACGTTGTGACGATGTATCAGAGTACCAACTGTTTAAATGTGCGGGTTTTCCACGAGTTTGGAAAAAACTGAAAATGTCTACATTGTTGATTTTTTTCTTGCAAAAGGTTCCATAAATATTTAATGCCCTTGACTTTCTGACTGCATGTAGTTTCAGCTTATGTCAAAACATCAAGTAAAACATGAGTCTTGGTCATATTGTTCTCATTTTCCTCTCATACCTCAACTTACTGTCATCACAGTGAAGATAAAGCGGCGGACTACAAAGGCACCTCTTTATTTCTTCTTCAGATGGAGAAAAAAAAAGAAACAAACCGCCTGGGGCCTATTGTATCAAAGTGTAAACAGCTGCCATGCTTGGGAAGGATGTACTTACTGTACAATAGTGAAGAAAGCACATACACCACATATAACATTATTACACAATATACTCATGATTAGGTTTATAATCCTCATGAATGAATGAATGAATAAATGAATGGAGTAACTGATTTAATTTGATAGTCTGATGATTGTAGTAAAAATCAACACCAGTCCATACAGTGAAGAACTGGATTGAACATAGAAAATGGGTCAATGTTCCTCCACATTTTTCACCATCTTATTCTCTCCAACTCTATGAGATTCCTCTACAACCTCAGGGTCTTGTATTTGGCCCGTTGTTGTTTGTCTTGTACATGTTGCTCGTGGGGTTAATCTTTGAGAAATATAATGGTCCATGTCATCTCTTTGCCAACACTCAGGCCTAATTGCCAGGTAATCTGTACAGATGTGACCTCCTGACACCGCAACAAAACTTTCTTTACAAAATTATAACCTGAGTGAAGTTAAATCTAGGTTTTATTGAAAATAAAACAAATGTGGTATGGTAAATCCTATCCACCCATTTGGTTGAACATATTAGTGCTGTTATAAAATACATTTCTTTCCAGCTAATTATTGTGAAACAAAAATCTTTCCTTCTTTCTTGAGAATTGAGAACATTCATCGTCATTCATCTATCTGGTTCTTAAATCCCACTGTTTTTCTAATTTAGTTACAATAGTGTCATTCTTATTTATTGTGTTTTACATAAAACAAGAGCATAAGTATTTTTTGTGAAAAAGAAATCAGTGAGGACAATTTAGTTAACTGATCTGTCAAAAATAGCTGTTTGTCCTGAGTCTGTTTTTGCAGAATAAACTGAAACCTTAAATATTCAAGTCAAGCGGTCCTCCACATTTTTCAGGTCCTCAACTCAAGTGCTGCTTATGAAGTTCAAGTCTCTCTTCTTGCGGAGATATATGATACCCTGGATTATGGAAAACTCCTCCTTGGTGGGTCTTTGTAGCACATGCTGAGAGGGATTAACGTCTCTGCCAGTTGTTGTGAGATCAGTCCAGCAGAGCTTGTCCCGCCAGCTCTAATCCTGCAGACAATGCAGGCTGTTAATTGGAGACTGACTAATATAGCCAGAGAGAGTCATGAAGACAATATGCAACTGGCCAGTGTCTCTGTAATCCCCTGCACCCTGTCCCTCAGAAGCATCCATCTACATGTATGCTTCGCCACCTCCCCTCCAGCACATCCCCCCAAAATGGGGCTTTCCATTTTCCTCTGAGTTAGAGCTGCTTCTCTGTTGTGAGTCAAACAGTTGAAAGGCGGGTGGCTTCATAGAGATGTGAAGTTTCACATTTCCCGCTCAGAGATCTGATAGGAGGTGTGAAAAAGCACACAGTGATGTTTGTGTTTTAAACAGGTCACAATGCAGAGTGTTAACAGGCTTGCTTGGGTCCCCTGCTGTTAAAACTGAATGCGGAGATGTAAAATGGAAAAAAAAAGTATTTAAAATATACACTAACACTGGTTAGAGAGCTTTTACAGACATCAAAAGAAAATTACAGAAGATTATCAATGTTAAGATTCAGTTGTTTTGTAACGTTCAGCTGTCTTAATCTGAGTCAGTCCTCATTGAATTTCACACCTTTGTAGTTGTATTTGAGCTTCAGAAGTCATTTGTGATATATGTTTAAATGTTCTTGAGAAGTCAGTTTGCCCATTTACATTCAAATGCATACTGTCCACAACATGTTGCTTTACTCTCATGTTTAATGGGCTGATGCAACAGCGCTGTAAAGAACATGCTATGCCCATCAACTCCCGAGTTCAAACCTGCATTCCTCTGGTTTACTGATTAAAGTGTTTGATGTGAGCATCAGTCATAAAACCTAACTGCTCTCAGCCTGTCAGTTGCAACATAAACGACTCATGTTTTGTGTTTAGTATCTGACCCGTGTCCTCAGAGGAGTCGTGTCTCCCAAAGCCTGAGTCAAAAAGCAAGAGAGGCAGATCATGCAGGCTTTGTGTGTGTTGTGTGTGTTCATGGTACAGGCTCCTTTATCTGCAAAGAGAAATTTGTCATAACACTGCAGTCCTTCCTCTTCCCACTTCACCCCAGCTCACAGGCAGCCAGGTGGTCGGAAGAGCGGCAGCCGTCTGCAGTTAGATTTTTATGAGCTGCGCATCTGTCGCCACATCTATGATATGCAAAATACCAGTAGAAGAGATTCTTCCACTGCTTTGAATCTGTCATTATTTGGTTTCAGTTAAACCACTGATTTACAGTTTTAATGAGTGATATCTCATTATGTTCATTTTTATTCAAATCTGAGGCGTTTTGATGGTTGGATGTTTGGTTGCTGCTTGAAACTTGTTCAACTGTTCAGATGTCGAGTCAGTTGAACATGTTTCAACTGACACAACATCAGTTTCAGGAGACCTTAGATGTTTGCACACTAACGGGTCAAAAGTTTTTTTGTGAAGTACATAAAATGAGAACATTTTAAAAACATTTTGAAACCTTTTAATATTTATCTTCCCATATCTCACACAATTTACCTTGAAAACAAAGAATTAGGGTGAGAATATTGTCCCTCCTGAGTCATATTCAATAAATAACATGCCTTCTGAGGCTCAATTGTCAAAAATAAAATAAACTCTTTAAAATGACAAAAACATAGCATACTTTCACTAACCTCATATTTCTGTAGAGGTTTTATAGAATCAAATTATACATTTTGTACTTTCATTTTCTAAACGCAGAAAATCAAAGACAATTAACAAAAACAATTGAAAGCATCAGTCTGTGTAATTGAGCTATAAAATATGTTTCTTGGTGAATTGAGTTGAAATAAATGCATTGTTCAATAATATTCTAACTGTGTATATATAGAGATGTAATAATCTGTTAGCATAAGGCTATATACCACTATCTAATAGTTTGTTAAAGCACATGTTCATCCTATTTTAGCTTAACACTTTAAAAGCTTCCTTCATCATTTGCCCACTCTGCCTGGTAAATATTATACAAATCTATCAGATCGAGAGAAAACATCTTGTCCTCAGCTCTGCCTTATTTAATTGTGGTATTCTGTAGTTATTCATATGAAATCCCTCTGCATTTAAACCTTTCCATCTTATTATACTCTGCTCCTGACTGATACCTTTATACAGTGAGATCATTTTTATCCTTTCGAAGCTGTCTCAACACTACAGCTGTAGATAATGAACACAAATAAGCAAATTTGAAGAAAACCTCACAACTAACGCTAAAGTTTATTTCAGTGTAAACATATTCACTGCAGCTGATGTTTCGCTGGAGATTAAATATTTGAAAGCAGATTAAAAGGTGCATGGAACAAAGTATTTATCTGAGGGTGCACACTTATTTAATCTGCTTATTGTTATGTTATCATGAAGAACAAATATCACATTAGTTAGTTCACAATTAAATTCTAATCAGTTTATTAGGTGCAGATTCACAATAAAGGTAAGAAAGTATAACTTTCACAGGTCAAAATCAGCAAACGTTTTCACAAAATAAACAAAGCATTTCAAAATGATCCCCTCTTGTGCAACATAAACAGCAATTTCGCATGCATGTGTGTATATCTTTGAGATTCACTGCATAAGGAGCACAAATTAGCCAATCATAAATCATTTCCAGTGAGTGGCTCCTCTCTCTCAGTCCTCTGTCCAAGCTGCGATGAGGAAGAAATGTGGCCTGAGCTCGGTGCACAAACTGAAAATGCTAATAGCTTGTGCTTAAAAGCTCAGTGAGGCTGGATTACTTTGCAGCTGGTATGGAAACAGCCTTAATTGCAATAGCAAACAACACTGCAGGGAAGATAAACAGTGGAAAACCACCAAAGGACAATAATCATGTGACGGCTGTTATGCATTCAAAGCTGCTCGCAGAAGTTTGTGTGTTTGACAGATTATTGATGTCAAGGGATCACCAATCGGTCCAAAGCTATCACATATCTTATTTCTTTGTTTTATAGCAACTTAAGATGAATAAAATTACATGAAATGTTGTTTTGAATGGGAGACTGTAAAGATTAGAGGTAGATTAGACCAAGACATGCATGTTTTGTTGTTGATATAAAAACTTTTCTCTTTTGTAAGCAAATATCACACTGTTTTTAATCTGATTACTGTTTTTACATTCAAAGACTGTCATACCTAAGCCACATGTTGTGTTTCCCAGGGTTTCTGTGCCAGAGGACAAATCTCTCTCTTCCTTCTATTTGTAAAACACATTTGTCTCTGAAACGGACCATAAAAGATGCCTTGATTTCTTTTTTTCGTTTTTCATTTGCAAATTTGATACACTGATGAGGCAAACTTTTTTTGTTCGCATTTATACAAAACTTTCTATGAGTCAACACATAGAAAAATTGTTTGAACATGAGCTGCAGACACTTGAAAGGCTTTAGCTCCTTTCCCACTGAACATCTCTGAAGGACAAAGCTGTGATTATGGTTTGTGGTTAGGATGTTTGCTGCAAGTAATTTGTCTCCCATGCATTGCTTTGATGATGAATCTTCAGCTGTGCATCAGTCAGCTACTCCTATTTCCTGTAAAGCACCTCATCATTTTTTTTAAGTATTATTGCTTTAAAATATTAGTGTTAAAGTCTTCTATGTGCTTACCCGGTAAACCAGTGAACAAATGTCCTCTGTAGTGTCACAATTTCCCTAAACAAACAGTCTTTGCAGCCAGCTCAGATTCTCTTTGCTGTTGTTTGGGTTTTTGACTGATTTCTCCAGCAAAAGCCATCCAGTTCCGGGATTTTGCACAGTTCTTCATACATGTTTAATTATGTTTAGGTTTATGGACTGTTGCCGTTCTGGCAAAGACCCTGCCATCCCCCCAGCTTCCTGCACCAGTTATTTGTTTTAGGAGTTTATCGCTAATCATTTTTGTGGAACACTGGATCATGATTATTGTTTATATATATACCTATCCCAGAAGTTTAGGTGGGAAAACTTTAGAGAGACTTTCTCTTACACTTACAGTTTATTGCAAATACAGCATTTTTGTAGAAATTTATATAAAATGTTTTAATATAACATGTTTATTTTGTTGATGTGCAATACACTGTATTCGTTCCCCTTCTTTTTCTATTATATTGGACATAGTCTTGGACCTTTAAAGAAGCAAAATAATCATAATGTTCCCTCATCCATGTTGATACACTTTTTTTTTTCCAAAACAAGCAATTCCTTAGAAGAAATTGTGTCTATCAAACACTGCAAGCAACACATTTAGATTTGGGTGATTTCTTTTTATCTTTATTGTACTGCAGGAATGCCACACGGATCCATTCTTGGATCATTTTAATACTTCTTATTATATCAGATGCATGCACGTGTGTAATTGTGTATATTTGTAATTGTGATTATTTTACCATTAATGTAACAAATGTTTTCCGTATTTATACAGTTATGGTTAATCTTGAATGATATTTGAAGGATTATGAAACCGCGTCCTCTGTGTTCCAGCTTAATGTTATTATATTCTCAAGGATCTACTAGTGTTAATCATTATTAATTATACTGGTAGAAAAAATATTCACAAACTATTCAGATATTCAAACACAGAAATATTACATATGTTTAAAAATATGTTTTAACTGTTACTAACTTTGAAGGTAACTTATTTTAAGAGTTTTGCTATGTTAACATGCCTGCTTTCTTCAACGTGATCACTAGATGTCACTAATTATTACACACACTTCCTTTAACTTAAAAGTGTTTTTTATACAAATTTGGCAGAAACAACAGTCCAACTGTAAATGCATGCCAAGAAGTAAATACATGTCAAGCGAGACGAAAAATAACTTTAAAATAGATTATTTAATATTATGTTTAACAGTTTCCCCTTGGGTGTGAGATACCACTTCTGGTTTTGCATCAACTTGCTCACGTTTACATAAAACTTCCCTGCAGCTAGTTAAAAAGAAATGCAATTCCAGATAAACTCTGACGAAACAAAAGGAACAACATGACAACTGTGTAAAAGGTTCCCAGTGGTTATGCACTTTTATTCAACTTTTCGGGTCCCACCGTGGGTCCCTTGGTGGTTAATACCAGGATCAGCTCATAATCCCTGAGAAGTCAGATGTGGGAATGAACTGCTAAAACCCTCCAGATACTGGAGAATAAACACCAGTCATGTAGTACAGTTCAAGGCAATACCAAAAAAATAACACAAACCCTGGCCAAGTCATTTAAAATTGGTGTAAACCACGATGAGAACGTTACATTCTAAGCATACACAATCACTACTCTTTTAAACAAAAGTGCAGTATACAATACCGCCATAAAGATGAAACCCAATATGGGTGAGAGAGGACACAGAGGGATCAAAACACCTCCATGTGGAAACACTGACGCTGCTCTCACCTCAACAATAACCAGCTGGATTTATGTGTAAATAAGGACCAATTGTGCTGACAATAACAGATAAACTCCTAATGCTTTTTGTGCAAGCCACAACAGACTGCAGCATGGACTATACAAGCAGATGTTGCTGTTTCTTGGCTGTTTTAGCCAGTACTTCTCTGTTGTGAGGGGTCTGTAGAGGTGAGGTGCAGACATCAGGTCATTTGAAACACAGCTGTGCAATTCTTAAAACAATATAAAACCTCTTCAAAGCATATGGTTACCCCCTCTCCCCGAAACACAATCTCTTCCACTCATTGCTTTTCCCTGATTGTAACTAATGCAAGGAGTGTTATTAAATACATAGACATGAATAGGGAAGTTAGACTCTTAGGGGGTTATTTTTGTTCTCCTTGGAATCAAATCTAAAGTATGTCTTAAAAGGACATAAACTCAGTCAGTTAATCATTAAAAAAGTCTCTCTTTTTTCTACAATAAGGGATGGAAAGTGCTTTGTTCTGACATACTTCAGATTAGGTCCCTCAAAGAAAAAAATGCATTTGGAAATCTGCCAACTGCCAGCTCAGGTTGTGGGAAAAGTAACACTGTTCACGTAAAATTACAGCAAAATCTTCATCTCAGAGCATTTATCCGGAGTCGTTTAGACTAGAACTGAATGCAAATGTCAGAAAGAAAAGTGTTCACGTTATAAAATATCTCTAAGCCCAAAACGGACCTGAGTGGCATTTCAGTTTTTAACAGAAGAAAGAAAATAGAGTGCTGGCAAAAAGGCTTGAATATATGAGAATACATTCTATAAGAATTTCTGATGCATTTACAAGCAACATTTACATCACAAAAAGCACAAGTGATTGCCTGCAAAGCTAAATGGCAAAAGCTACTTCCTTCTGACAGACGAACTCCTCCGCCCCAGCTTTATGGGATGGAGTTGTGGCCCCACAGAGGAAGAAAAGAGTCCAAAGATAAGCCGCACAGCAGCCTAGTAAAACAATTCCAGACCATGCACGGCTGCGGCGTCAATGCAGCAGCAACACGGTCTCCTAAGAAAAAACACTGGTCCCCGTGAGCGTTTCAGATACCGAGGCGCGACGGGGACGAGGATGAGAAAGGAGCGGTCACCCTAGAAGGCAACCTGAGGGGGACACCATGGAGTGTCTGGGTACAGCAGACAGTGCACGGATTTAAACCTGGGAAATGGAAAATGGAGAACTGAATGAGTGGAAACGTGCCAAATATCTGACAAATGTGAAATGGAAAAATGTCCCCACCTTGATGGATCCTCCTCCACAGAAAAAGCCCCTTTCAAGCTGATGATATTGCTTTTATTTTCAAACATCCCATAACTGAGAGTGATCTAGAAGCAGAAGGGGAAAAAAGATTATAAGCATGTTATCCAATTTAACCTGCAGGTGCATGTTTTCAGAACAGAAAAAAACAACCCAGATATCCTATGAGGGTCTCACCTGTTTGTGAATCTCAGATCGGGACACCTGTTGCAGGTTTTCCAGGTGGGAGTGAAACAAGCTGCTTCGGGTCAGAGGGACTCCCAGAACAGACTCAATGATGTAGCCAATGGTGCAGTCATCGGGCAGACGGATCTTCTCTGCTGTGTTCATAAAGTGACCGCCACTGAGAAGAGAAAAACAAAGGTGAAGACAAAACACAACTCATGCTTTTCTCTTTTAACTCATTTCCTATTATGAGATACTTTTACAATGTTCAGTTGCTCTACTGAGGTGCATTTGAAACCAGATATTTACATATCATGTATAAAATAACATGTTGACATTACACCAGTTTACTGTTTACTTTCCCATCACATCATTACTGCTATGCAATTTGATGGGACTAAAATTCTGGAAGGTGATCAGATAGTCAAACTTTTGGCTGAAATCATAGATTTTAAAAGGCAAATCCAGTGAATACTACATGAAAACATCGGAATTTGAATACAGTAATATTGCAAATAAAAATAACATTGGTAATCTTAATAAAACAGAAGAAGTTCAGTCTGGTTTCACGGAAAACGATTCAATATATTCTCACCTGGCCCACGGGCTCATCTTCAGTGCCAGACCCCGGCTCACACAAAAGCCAGCTCCTCCCGTGGCAAACCAAAAGTTGACTGGTTTCTAGTTTAGGATAAGACTGACAATTACTACATTGCTGTTTCTTTAAATCAGCAACATCTAAAGGACAACAATGCTTTATCGTACCATTTTGTTGTCACCTAGCCTCTCTGTGGCCTCTATCGGCCGGTCCAGACTCGGTTTACCAATGTACAAATCCTGGGTGTGGGGGTACTGAGACAAGTGCTTCACAAGAGTCCGAACATTCACGTAGTTATCGTCGTCCACGTGACAGAACCATCTATGAAGCAGGAAAAGCAAACAAGAGATTAAATGTAATCATCTGCAGACTATTAATGCATGACCCCATCCTCAGGCAGCAAGGCTTACTTTTTTCCTGACTCAATAAACTTATCGTATTCTACCGCCATCTTGCAGGACAAAGCTTGGCGACTATGAGCAGCAGAACAGTTGGTGTTGATTGCGTGACTTCCTGCAGGAGCAAAATCACCAAAACAGAAATAGTTTTATTATGAGACTGCACAATCAAAGGAAACTGAGGAAAAAAATTTTATAGCTTTCATAAAATCTATTTAGTACTTAATGAAAGGTCCTTTCAAACAAAGAACATCTCTGTTGATGAATTTCCACATACAACTTACCGATTTTCTTCTTTAGCTCATCATCTTCGCCATCTGTGAAGATGTAAGTCTGTGAACAAAAAGAAGTCATGGATAAGATGACTTGGTCCAAATATAAAAAAGAAAAAAAAACACTTTGGCTGATTATATGGAGCTTTCACACAATCAAATGCAAAACAAAATCCTGCTTCCTCGCATCAAGCCGCTAAGATTAGCATCAATCAACGTGTCTTTTATGCAGTGGAAAACACACTGTGTTAAACAGCCCCTTGCTCCAAGAAAGGCCTTTTGTACTGCGTTTTACTCTCTCCGGGGCAACCATACAGCCGCTCTGAAGCATCCCAGACAACCGACAAAGCAGGAGGCAGACTGTCCGCCTTCCATACACACACCCCACATCACGTCGCCCTTGGACCAGCCAGCTCACCCGGCTACGGAGCCTCGCAGTGTTTACTCCCCTGAAACAGTGGCGTAAAAAAGTTACAGCCAACACTCCATTGTCTTTGTCTTGGAAAGTGTGTGAGTATGACAGACTCATAATGTCTGAGGACTTTAACCTTGAGGCTGCAGACACTAGTTGAATGTAGCAATTAGTCATAAAAAAGGGTGAGCAACAAAGGCCACCGATAACACCCACAGAGCAGGTGCAAGCTGCTCAATGAGTATGATGAAAGGGCCTGAGGCCGCCGGCTTTATAACCGCCAGGGGTATGTTTACTCTTCACCTCAGGTGAGGCAGCACCTGCCGAACATCACGCCACCTTATCAAGGGCACGCGTCTAGACACGCCAGGTCGTGGTGCTTCACGACAGGCCGCTTTGTGTCAGTTGGGGCCTCATTCATGCATCCGCAGTTAAAGACCTATTTCTCTACACAATAAAGGATGCAAACAGAGGCTACCGCAGGAGTGTTCGGAGCAAATTCTGAGCAAATTCTGAGCAGATGTTTTTTTTTTTTCCCCCCCCCCCCCCTTCATGCTAAAAGCAGAGAGTCTGTATTTGTTTAGGACAGGGTGGTGGTTTCAGTGATGAAGGGATCACAGGCTGGCGCTGTTTGCTTTAAAAGCTCGATGAATAGATGGCCTAATCACTGAGGCAGCTGCCAGAGCTGCCAGGGCACTGACAGAAAGAAAGATGGAGGGAGGAAGGGGTGGCGGGGGATCTCACCACTGATTAGTAAATCGAAAACCGTGTGTGGCCATTCACCCCCTGTTCGTCCTCATCCTGCCTCTCTTCCCCGTCTCCCCCCTCCTGCTCTGAGCCCCAAACGCGGCCAGAGGCTCTTGAAGAGAACAATGCGGAGAGTTTTCATGCTGGGTAAAGTCTCCGCTGGGTAAATTCTGAGCATGTTTGCCTGCATTTGCATACAGCTGCAGGAGTTAAGTGAAGATAATGCACTAAGGGAAAAGTTTCTGCTGCCATTGTTGGATTCCTGCAGCTTAAAGGCACAGCTGCTTTCACAGAATATGAAATCCAACCAAAACAAACCAAAAAAAGAGGGAAAAAAGTTCTAAAATATTTGGTTATTAAAGTAGAGATAAGAAACAAAAGAGAAAATGAAAAAGAGGGAGTGGGTAAAGTGCAATCCAGAGCACAGGAAGGGGTTGCACGAACGGCCTTGTCTGAACTGAACGTGGTGCCTGGCTGGCTGCCTCCAGCTCCACAGGAAGGAAGGCCACCAGGCTCCCTTCGTTCCACCAACCACCTCCACCCTGACTCCTTCCCCTCTCTGTTCTGCAGCCTTTCAGCACTTTTTGTCTGGACAAATGAGCTGGAAAACAATTCAGGGACATGTCAGAGGCGTGATGCATCTATGCTTTGTCCCTGTGCCAAGGCTGACCACTTGTACTGATAGCCTCACACTGAAGCAAATTTATTAACTCGGCTACGGAAATATTTATTGGAAACGTTCAAGGCTCATACAGGGAGACTTTTGGTTTCAACTCTACTTAGAGAATGCAACTTCATTTGAATATAATTTTGTTTTTAAAATGTCCCTTTGCACAGACAGCAGTGCAGGGAAGTGAAAACGTCTAGCAGAAGATTAGCATAAAAATAATCCAAACTTCACAGACAGTCGTCAGCTGACCCTGAGAATCAAACCTCTGCTGATGAGGACGGCCATACGCACAGGGTGGGAACTCTGAGCATCATATGGCTGGCATTAAAGCCGTCCTTTGTTCCGTCTCCCCCTGACCACCTGGCACCCTTCCTCCAGAAATTCCCTCTTGCATTGTGCTGCTCAGTCTATCCTTTTTGTCCTTGCAGGACCCCCACCCCTCCCACCTGTCTCCCCCCTTTGTGCCCCCAGCTGTCTGTCTATCAGTCCTGCTGTTACCTCTGGACGATGCAGTTCACTAATGTGATCCACAACAGTAGCTGCAAACCAATTAGCACATGTAGTAAGGTGTCAAGGGTGTGTTCAAGTCTTTAATGGGAGATGTTCAAACAACTCCGACTAATGATTTCTCCGGTTCTAAGATGGGTCGATATCATCACAGATAGTGATCCAAGCATGTTCTGAAAGTGAAGTGCATCAACATGCAGGATAAAATCACTTTTGATTTGCTTTCTTCAAAGAAATAATAGGCCTCTTTTTGTGCTTCAGTGTGCAAACCTGCCTGCAGATGCACTGCTTTTGTCCCAGGCAACCCCTCTCATCAAAGCCCCATTTTCCCATCCCTTCCTAGTGTGCCTGAACCAGACTCAGTTCCCATGTTCCCATGGAGAGAGAGAGCGAGAGAGAGGAGACAGGGAGCTGGGAAAGCCTCCCCCCGACTCCCCTTCTTGTTCAGTAAGATGCTTTGTTAGTCCTGGAAAAAGGGAACAGAGCTGGAGTCGGTTCTGTGACGCATCCATTGCAGCAGCGGCATTCACAGGGACACCGAAGAATAGGAGGGATAATAGGCAGTGGGGAGGCAGAGAGGAGGAGGCGAGAGGAAGAAGAGGGAGGACAGGGGGTCCTAAAACTGCTCCCTCCGTTCTCAGGAACATCATTCAGAGGAGAATAAGAAGTGACAGAAACTTAGCACAGTTTAAAGGAACTGTGCTGAGAAGAGGAACAAAGCAGCACCTAAAAACATGAATCACCTAAGTTTTAATATTTAGTCAGTAAGGCGAATCACCTTCACCTGCAGTATGCTCTTTGCTGTAACAAACTAATTAATGTGAAAAGAAAAAAAAACATCAGGAATACTTTTTCACCTGTTGCATGTTCCTGGAGATCCAAGTCTCCAGCAGCAGATTTAGCCTGGACTGGTGGAACTTCTTGGTTGTCTTCACGGCGACGAAGACATCAGCCGCGCTGATGTCCTCAGCCGGAGGGGGGTCCGAGGCGGCGGCTGAGGTCCGTGCGGGCTTCTCCACCTCCCTGCGCTCCCGGGCCAGCTTGGAGAAGTAGGTCGAGAATCCTTTCTTATCCTGGGCGGGCAGCGCGTGGTCCTCCGGCGCAGAGCGCGCAGCTGCGTCCTCTCCGTCCGTCTCCTCGGACACCTGGACGCGGTGATGCTGCACAGCGACCAGCAGCAGCAGCAGCAACAGGCAGAGGCATCCTGTGCAGGCTACGGAGATCGCTGTCTTTTTTCCATTATTTTTCAGCATGATTAAAACTTAAAAGCGACTTAAAAAACTATGAAGTGGGGCAACGTGCAACTGATGCCAAGTCCATGCGGTGTTGCTCCTCAGAAAAACACAAACTAAAATACAGAAACTCCTTTAGAGATCATAACAAATGAGTGGCTCCATTGTAAGGAGGGGGTATTTAAAGTCTCTCACAGTGGCCACGCCTCGTGGGAGGTCTGTGAATCTGACATGCAAGCCTGTGATGGTTCATTGGGCGGGGTTTGGTTTGGTGTCTGGGTCTGCGGCTTATCTGGGTTTTCAAGATCTCACAAGAAAAAGTTTGACCCAAGAAAATCCTGAATTTCTGTCCCAGGATTAAGAAACAATTGGATTCTTGGATTTAAGAAAATTGAATCATCTTTCCTTAGTTAAGAGGAAACAATGCAGTTCATATACCACCACTGGCACAGAGAGTTCAAGTAGTGATTAAACAAACTACCGACACAGATGCAGTTGTTGCACATAAGGTGCATATGCAGTATCAAAATAAACTTTTAACATTTACTTCACAGTTACGTAATTTAACCCTCAAGAGTAAAACATGGAATAAATATGTGGAGAAAAGTTAGACTTGCACACCCACTGTATGGTTAAAGTTAAATTAATTGCCACTGTTGTCAATCAAAGTCAAGCTAGGCACCAGGAAGAATATTTTCTATATCCTGCCTGAGGGTGCCAGTTTGTTAGGTCTCCAGGTACTGGTTTCAGAGAACATTTCAGTTGTTTTCCTCCTCCTGAATGGATGAATCACTTAAATTTGAGTTTTTTTGTTAGTACTTACATCTGGCTGCATTTTGGCTACACTGTGCTTGTTTTTGGTTCCGTGTTTCTTCATTTTAGACAAAGAAATTAATATAACCATTGTGAACTCCAAACCTGAATCCAACTTCAAAGTAAGTAAACTTAAAATATGTATTTCTTTTAATAAAAATGATAAAGCATTGCATTGTTTTGTTAAACCAGTTTTGCCATGCTAGGCCTGTTAGCGATCCCCATATGGGCACCACTTAGAAAACTTTCTTGAGGTTCCCGTCTTCCAAGGAGAAACTATTTGAACTCACCCAAATGAGAGCCGTGTGTTCACCAGACAAACGGGCTCCATTGTTCTTCTTTGACCTTGTAAGGAATCTGAACAGTTGGCCTCTCTTGAACACTTGTTATTCAAATTCTGGCTCTCACCAGTGAATGCCGTCTGCTTCTGGGATGCAGACCAAACGACATGAGCTCCATTCAGAGGGGCACGCAGCTGCAGAAGCCTCAATAAAATCCCTGCTCCCAGCAACCACCAACCACCAACCACCAAACCTGCTGCTCAATCTCAAATCTTTAGTAATATTTTTTCTTCTTACTTTCCAACATTTTCCCAATGCAACATTTGTGTTTAAGAAAATTAATACCCAAAGTTGCTATGTGTTCCTCTTGGGCGTATTGAAGAAAAGCCCCACCTTGTGAGAGGCGTCATTGTCAGAAAATTGTCTTTCCATTTGAGCTCAATTGCCACAGCAGGTGTGTCCCTATTCGTATTTCTGTGACTTGCAGAAAATAAATTGCTGTTCTGTTGTTCATTTGCATCTAAACGAAACTAGAAGCCAAGAATAGAGGGTTGTTTCTCTGACCTTCATTAATCTTCAGTCAACCGCTTGTTTTTTGTTGTGCAAGCAGACTATCCATCTCTGTTTTCAGATCTTTCAGATTTGGAGTTGCACATTCAGATCTTTGCTTGACAAGTGGGAGAGCTCTACCCTGAGTTTTCTCTCCATTTCAGTTTATTTCAGTGGTTTCTTTATCTCTTCTGGCACATTAAATATTCACAGCCTTCATACAAGTGACCAGAAACTCTCAAATATTTTGTAAACATTTACAATTTTCTTTCTAGATTATTTGGTAATGTGAGGTTGTCTTTTGAAATTTTGACTCACTATGGTTTATGTCTCTGCATGCTGCAAAATTGTCTTACTGAGATGTGTAAACACCATAACACAAACAACAAATGACTAAACATCATATGGCTACTTTTTCTTTTTCTTTTTGAATTCCACAAAACCCAAAAGCACACGATCTCCAGCAGTGTTAGCTTGACTCCTAAAAGATCCAGAATGTTGAGAAAAAAACCTGGAACATATTAGCTGAAAGCCACAGCTTCATACTGTTTCCATTTATCCTATATTTTGGTGTGTTTAGCATTCCTTTGGATATATCTCTGAATGCCTCTTCTTTTGAATTATTTTCTCCACTTACAAATACTTCAAAGGTCTGTTTGAAGATAATACATAATGCTTTGATTTAAGCTTTTTATATCTTGGATCTTTGATAAACCAAGTGTGGAAAAGTACAAGTATCTTTTATTTACAGCAGCTTGAGATAAACTCTAGCTTTCATAAATGTTCCAGCTACAAATACAAAAAAATGGAAAAAGAGGGAATTTCTTTTAAATCAAATGTTTTATTCACTATCTCTATTTAATATTTAAATAGATAAAAGTAAAAGTAGTATGCAAGATTCTACATAAGTTTGAGTAAAGGTAATTTTACAAAGCAAGATTAAACATTAAAAAGATCTTCTGTTTACTTTCCCATCACATCATTACTGCTATGAAAAAAAGACCCATCAATTTGAGGAAGTGTAAAAAACATACATCCCCATTTTGCTAATAGTATAAAAGTTATTCTTCCATTAAATATTTCACAAGACATTTTAAAGAGTTTATCACTCTAACAAAGCTTTTCATGGTTCATGGAAAAGACTCACAACATCTCGATTCTCTAATTAATACTAAACATGCAATGCTTTAAGATTTTTTTTATACCTCCTTTAATATCCTCATCAAAATAAATTGTGGTGAAAAAAAACTTTAGCCCTCATCGGACCTTGTTTTTCCACAGTTCAAGTCATTTAAAACTTTTAATTTATTGATCTCACTATAAATTTAGACAAGTAGCTTTTTCCCCCAAAATCTTCAGAATGACATAAACGGTCCTTTGTGCTAAATCACATCCTGGAATCTAAATAAAAAATGTAATTGAAGTGTAGATAAAAATGGTTCAGCTACATTTATTTTGTAGAAATTGTGTGAGATCTCAAAGGTGTGTCTCACTTAAATCTCTTGAATATGTTTACTCAAACGAAAGGTTGATTTTTGGATTCTTCTGTTCTTCTGCTGTTTATATAATTAAATCAGAATTGTTGCAAACAACAATAAAGAACTGAACACCTCTGGGTGAACATGTGGGTTCAGAGGAAAACATCATGTGTAATTCTCAGTGGACCAGTGATTAGCCTCAAGAGCCTGTCTTCACTTCTGTTTACTTTCCCATCACAGATACGGTATCTCTGATGGGGTTTAAAGGTCACAGCAGACCTGAGAGCCGGTTCTCAGAACTCGACTTTTTTTTTCTTTTTTTTTTTGTGCTCTCATTCAACATTAGATGGATCTCTCAAAGGGCTGGCTCTGAGTGCTCTTCAGCTTCTCTTGAGATGAGTAAACATGGACAATTTGTACAGAACAGCAGAGAGAGCTTTTCAATGCAAACAAAACAAAACACTTAGTGAGGCACTATCTTTAAATTAAGCATTTAACTATTTTGGCAAAAGAAATATTATTTTTCACATAAGTTAAATTTTTGTTTCAACTTTTTATATGAAGTTAAGTATACTCTGTGTTCCAAATTATTATGCAAATTGGATTAAAGTGTCATAAAGATAAAAATTTTTGTTGTGCTATTAAATTTATAGATGGTATTGTGTGTCAGGACTCTTTGAATCACTATAATTAATTTCAAAGAGCTGAGTTGATTAGTTAGTCTGATGAGCTCAATTAAAGGATATCTACTTAAGAAGGATGTTCCACATTATTAAGCAGGCCACAGGTTTCAAGCGTTAGGGGAAAGAGAAAGGATCTCTCTGGACGAAAATCTGCTGGTGGAGGATCCTCCAGAGGCTTGTACTCAAGGTTCATGCCCTAACCAGTACTCACAAGCAGAAACTGTCACAGTGGGCCCAGCCATACAAGAAGATGAATTTTCAAAAAGACTTGTTCACTGATGACTGCTGTGCAACCCTGGATGGTTCCAGATGGACGCAGTAGTGGATTGGTGGTGGATGGCCACCATGTCTCAACACGGCTGTGACGTCAGCAAGGAGGTGGTGAAGTCATGCTTTGTGCTGAAATCATGATAAGAGAGAGAGCAGGTTGGCACCTTCAGAGTCCCTAAAGGTGTGAAAATGACTTCAGCAAAGTATATTTCTGACTGATCTCTTTCTTTCATAGTTCAAAAAGAAGACCTTTACTTTCAGTAGCAAAATCATCCTTATGCATGACAATGCACCATCTCATGCTGCAAGGAATTCCACTGTGTCATTGGGTGCTATGGGCATAAAAGGGGTCCTCTGACCTCAACCCTATTGAGAACCTTTGGAGTTTCCTCAAGCAGAAGATCTGAGGGTGGAATGCAGTTCATATCAAAACAGCAGCTCTTGGAAAGTATTCTCACATCTTGCAAAGAAATTCAAGCAGAAACTGTCCACAAATTCACAAGTTCAATGGATGCAAGAATTGTGAGGTAGCATCAAAGAAGAAGGGGTCCTATGTTAACATGTAACTCGATCTGTTAAGATGTTTTTGATTGAAATAGCTTTTGATTTTAGTACATGTGAACACTTAATGCTGCACATTCTGTGAATGTGCAGCATTTTCAGTTCTTTAGAACTGGTTAGAAAATCTGTTGTGCATAATAATTTGGAACAGTGTATTTGAGTTTTTAATTTTTGAAATGAAAATACTGTTCTTATTGGGAGCTTTGTTCAGTAAAATTTGATTTATACTGTAATAGTTCATGACTTGAAAATTATACTGACCTTCATTTGCATTGACCACTTAGCAAAATCTGAGAAAATATCACTTGCATAATAACTTGGAACACAGTTATTAAGAAAAGTCAAGAATGCATTCACACAAATCTGCTCACTTTTTAAAAGCAAATCATGATATGAGATAGAACTGATGTTCCTTTCAAAATAACACAAACTTCTTCACTTAGTAAAGAACCTCAAGTCATTCCTTGAAATCAGATAGCCACTGGAGACCCTTCAGGTTC